TTTTTTTTCAACCTGAACCCTCTTTTCACCATCTCTCCCACAGCCTCTTGACCTGAGTAGTTCCAGCTCATTCTCCATGTCTCAGCTTAGACGACTCCTCTTCCAGGAAGACTTCCCTCCTCCCCAAGTCTGGATGGGGTGTCTCTTTTGAGAGCCCCATGGCACCCATACTCATACAAGAAGAGCATCACTGTCTACTGAGTTGTGTTACTCTTTACTTATTTCCAACCCACCTGGGACTGAGCAACGCAGGGTGGGGAAACTCTGTTTTATTCATAGATTTTCCTAAGGGGCTAGCAAGCAAAGAACCTGTTGGCTGTCTCTCTGAGGGAAGAGCATTTATTTGCAGAGGAGGTGGCAATAATTTTGTCTGAGCCAGCCCTTACCTTTGAAGAAGATGTAATTTGAGAGAACCATGAGCGTGTCTTGGTTGAACTCCTGGAGGCAGTCCACGATCTGCCCGTATGTCTGCTTTCTCACATAGTCGTTGATCTGCTTCCCAGTTGTAGCAGAATCTGTGAAGTTGGCAGAAAAAGCGAAAGCTCCATACAGCTCTTTGATCTTGTCCAAAAAGTGCTGCTGAGGTTTTAGTTGCTTGTCTAGGAACAAGGAGTTTCCTACTTTTAGTTCAAGTTTGGGGCTGGGCAGGTTAAGGGTGTGCACGAGGCTCTGGAAGCCCTGGTGGATGTCGGCTTCTGGGATCTCTGTGAGGTTGAAGCCCAGTCCCTCCAAGATCTGAGTTGCTGTGTCAGCTTGGGCCCCGAGAGAGAGCAGGGCCAGGGTGGTGGAGATGCTCACTGGAGAGAAGAAGATGTTTCCTGGGGTGTCTGCTGCCAGCTGCTTATACAAACGCAAAGCAAAGTTGGTAATGGTGGGTGTGATTTTGTGGTAGGCAGGGGCTGGGTCTGAGAGCTGATGGCTGGGGGGTTGAGGCACCACCAGAGTCTTATCTTCATGGGCAGGAAAAGGCTGACAATGGATGGAGGCCAGAATCCCTGCTCCCAGCAGCCAGAGCCAAGCTGGCCCCATCCTCTGCAAACAAGATGGTAAACACGTCACTCTTGTGCATATTGCTTCATGTGCTTATACAATAAACACCACCATTCAACTGTTTCCCACAGGGGTGCCGTGAAGGCCGCTGCAGAGGACAAGGCAGTGGGTAAGTAATTAGGACTCTGGACACTTTCCTCCAAGGCTTCAGTTAATCTGCTTTACATATTGACAGGTCTACAAGATTAGGTTGAGTAAAGGATTTTGGGGTATTAAAAAAAAAAATACAACTTCAATCGTCTATTCTCCCTGACTCCCCTGCGCTCTCCTTCCTTTC